GCATCCAGACACTTTTTGAGTTCATATCAGAGGCAGTTGCAGACACAGTCTCACTTTACACACACTTATTTCTCATTTACAAATCTCACACAGAAGAAAAATGAGGACAATTGTGCTTTGCGTTTGTGCCAGTCTCCTGCTTACAGCCACCTTGGTGCCGCGCGCCAGCCGGGCAGCAGAATCCCCCGTCAACTCACACCAGAGATGGGACGCTAGAGGAACCTACTCGTTGGGATCTGAATCTGGTACCCCCACCTCCTGCCCCATGAAACTGAGACCCTCGGGCCAGTGCGGGAGCTCCGGGGCCGGGGCAGAGGAGGGGGAGGATTGCCCTTACCAGCTCACTCTGCCTCCCCTCACCATCCAGTTGCCCAAACAGTTCAGGCTTCTGGAGAAGACGATGAAGGAGCTGCAGAGCCTGAAGGAGGTGGTCAACAAGCTGAAGAGTGGGTGCCAGGAGTGCCGTGGGGCACGGGGCAATGGGGCTTTTGGACATCAGCAAGCTGACCAGGGACAGACGCAGAGGGATGCTGGGGGAGAAGTGAGACTGGACCTGACAGGACAGGAGGTGCAAGGTGGGTCCAGCCAAGAAGAGAGGGGAGATGGGATAATCCCTGGAGCTACTGTGGATGTTGCTGGACCAGGGCATGCTTCTATTTTTGGGAAAATTACACCGAGCCCGAGCACTATGCAGGAGATGCAGGTAAGAGGCGCAGTTCAGTCTCAAGAAAAAAAAAAGAGACAATTTTCATACATTTTAACTAGAAAATGCAAGATTTTACCAAGGAATGAGCTCTGTTTTTACAAAAACACTTGTTTCAATGCAAAGATGAAACCTCTAGGTATATACACTTTATATTCAGAAAATCCTTGAATTTTGTCATGATGATGTCAATAAAAGTTAAGTGTATTTGTCATCCTAATCTAAATTAGGGTAGGCATTAGTTTTGAAATTGTTGAAACTGTAATATCCACATCAGCACACATTCAGTATCATATAACAAGCTTTAGAGCGCTGTGCAATAGTGAAACTGCACCAATTTTCTGTATTTCCTTTAAAACCACGTGAATTCCCAGTAAGCCAGTAACATTACACGCCTGGTGACGGACTGAAATAAAATGTGCTTTATAAACACTGTAGGAATACCAACAAATCACTACCAAATGACCTAAATTTGCCCAGTCAAATGTACTCAGGTGGAATATAAACTGGCCAGATGTTTTAAGTCCTCCGTGGCACCAGACCACCAGGGAAAATTCCTGGTATTGTAAACAGGGTGGGGAATCAGCGTTAGACACCAGCCAAATGGCGGTAAATTTCTGCTGTCTGGTAACTTCGTTGACGCTCATAGCCACTTTGGCAGACGGCCAACCATCACGCAGACTCGTTTCTATTCTACAATTCTAATTGGCTGGTAAAACAATGAAGGAGGCTGGTGACTTCAGTAATCCACCTGCTTTGTATTCTGTGCACAGAAATAATTTCCTTCCTCCCCCGCTCTGGCCCTTCCCAGGTGAAGCTGAATAGGATGTCAGCCAGCCTGCGCAACGCCAGGAGCCAGATCTCGGCTATGCAGGGTCGTATGGAGGGGCTCAACCTGCTCAACATGGACAACGTGCAAGCTATGGTGGACAGGCAGGTGGAGAACATCACTGGAGTGGTCAACAAGCTCAGCTCCACCTGCACCACCGCATGTCCAGTTCAGAACACTCCTCAGTGTAAGCCTGTTTCTACTAAGATAGTTTGGTAGCGTTCTCCATTTTGTTATTTGTCTTTTTCTATCCCATCTTATTCTGTCGTTTGAAAATCCCCTCCATCCATCTCAGCTATTTGCTATAAATGTATTCTCTTTTGCCCCAAAACCCCTTTCTTTGTGTTTTTCTTCCATCTTTGCTATTTCAAAGATGCCTCTCCTCTTTTGTCCTTCTCTCGTGCATTTCATTTTTTGCAATCTTTCTGAGAAAGATCAAGAAGCCTTCTCTTCTCTTCTCTTCTCTTCTCTTCTCCTCTCCATTTCACTTAAATTCACCACAGATGTTGTTATGGTAATGAAACTCCAGTTGTAGTGTACTGGGCATCCATTGGGTTGTTTTGAGGTGAATTGTCTGGCATAGGATCTATCCAATCATGCCTAAGTGGAAATGGCGACTTGTAATCACTACAAACAATCCAACTCTGGGTGGTCACCTTCACCCAGTGCGGCCTTTCTGGGAAATGGGAAATGGGAAATGGAATCTTCCATGCTGACAATGACATTGTCAACTACACTCAGTGATTGTTGCGACATGCCTTCTCCATTACCAATATGAACATTAGGCATTTTGGGGAGATTCGTATCATCATAAGAGGAATTTTCCATCACCTTTTAAAAAAAGAGTGAAAGTGAGAGTAGCATCCCTACAATCACTCACTCATTTCTACAGTAGAGCCCGAGTCGGCTAAGTGCAGCCATACAAAACATTACCAAAGCAAAATAGCTTTAGGTTGAGGTCATACTGTACGTGAGTGAAGCAATATGACAACTAGGGTCAAAGTGAGAATTCAAATTACCTCTTATATAACTAATTCAAGTGCTCTGACATTCCACTGCTCTCCATATGGAGAAACTCAAAAAAGAAGAGAGGGAGAACAAGAGAGACAGATACTTGGCGCCTACACTATTAGATAGTGTGAACATTAAAAAAAAAAAAGAATCTTTACAGGTTTGAACCTGCCTCTGTTAAACTGTTTCTTTTAAAGAGGAATGGGGAGAACCTCATGATGGAGACTATGCAGTAGGAGGGATTGCAAACCAGCCAAGCATAACAAACATTCCACTTTACATTGATGTAAAAGCTTATTTGGATGAGAGCACATTTGAGATTCCACTTTTCAGACTGAAACTGAATAATATCCTGATATTGCATGAGTGCATGTGAATGTGACACTATATTGGGTCTTTTATGTGGAAAACAGATGTGAGCTTATTTCTAAGTAGATTAGCTGGGACAGTGGTGTGAAGGGAATCCCAGCTTTTCCTCTTCCGCTGTGTTTTCTTCTCCCATAAACTTGCCTCCTTCACCTTCAAACTCTCCTTCAAATCTCACCCTCTCTCCCTTATACAGTTATCCTCAGTCTATCTGTCCTCCATCTCTCCATTTCCCTTCACATCTCCACTGTTTTCACTCCTTCCCTCGCCGTAACTTTCCCCGTCTCCCTCTCTTTAATCCCGTTTCCCAGTGCTTTACCCCTGCCTCTCCCCCTACCTCTCTCTTCCTCTGGAGGTCATGCTCTTGAGTGCTCATTCCTGCATAAAACAACTAGCTCTCATTATCTCCTGACAACAACACAAGAAGTAATGTGGGGGCGGATTTCCCAACATTAGTCACGGACGGTACACAGGGTCAGTAACACTTGTATTTGTACATCGATCTGTCATGTTAAACTCAAGAACCAGCTAATGATTCTGCCGCAAGTTAGGAAATCATGGCTGATGGTGTCTGAAGTGAATCCAAGAGAAGACAAGAGGCAGCTGCTGTTACCATGGAAATAGACCGACATGTAATGATAAGACTTAAGTTTCTCAAGATGAGCATAAACAATGCAACTGCTGTTTTACTCAAGTTATACTTCTTGTTTAAAAGTTACCTATTAATATGAACGACGCATTTTAGGGCTTTCAGAAAAGGTTTTGGCTCATACTACTTAGGACAGACTCATGACACAACAATCCCATTAGTGTGAACTCCAGGTGCTGAATTAATGTCCTTTTACTTGCTATGAACACTACATACTGACTTTTAGGGGAAAAAAATGTTGTTTATCACATTGTGAAAAGTGCTTAGTGAAGCGATTCATGGTTTAATGGTTCCCCCGACTCCTGAATAAACCATCCAGCTGCCAAATTATAGCTAAATCATTAAATAATTGTTAAATAGCGATTTGCACAAACCGTATTTAAAATTCGGTTTTATCCAAGGCGAGCAGGCCCAAGATGACCACATAAAGATTATATTGAAAATTTTTTTGGAGACGTCATATGAGACAGATGTGTATTTTTTATGTAGATAGGAGCTGTGGTGATGGATCATTGGCGAGCAAATGTTAACAACCCCACACATGCGCAGGGATTAAGGAACCAGCCACACGGGTACAGCTCATTAGCTACACTGCACAGTTCAAACATTTACACTGAGAGAGTTCAGAAAAGGCATTTAAGGACACTCACTTTTTCTAACCTTTTTTTTCCTCCATCCCTTTATCCAAACTCTTTTGTTCCAAGCTCAAAAATACCACGGCTGACGAAAATGCAGCTAATAAAACGCTGGCATTACCCAGACATTTTAGGCCAGTGTAGGACTGCAATTTCACCATCAAGCAGGACTAATAGTACATTTGTCAAGATGCTTTTATCACTAACAGTGCTGTACGCATTTATTTCGCCCTCTTTGCCAATTTCCATGCTTGCGGCAACTTCACTTTCACTCCTGCAAGACGTATTAGGGCCTTGAGGTGAATGGAAAGCAATTCATGTTACTGTTCAGCTACATTAACTCAATTATAAACAAAGAGAATGTATGCCCAGTCCGCCCCATTGTCAGGAACTCCTTGTCTGCAACATGGTGATACACAACATCCTAAAAGGAAGGGTGTTGCTATTTGATGAGTTTCTTTCCGTCAAAACAGACAGCAGTATTCTCTTTGAGCTGCTTTTGTGGGGAAAGATTATACTATCACTCTGGATACACATTTCCTTCCATTACAGGTGCTAATCTTAGCTGACTACTGGCTGTCACAGGGCATGCTGCCTTGATAAGAGAGTCGTCTTCCTTTTTATTATCATTTATCTGCTGCGTCAGTCAAGCGGGCAATGTGTTATTAAAAACAGTCAGTCAGTTGTCATGTTGTCAATACTGCACGTCATATCAGTTTAAGAGAGCAGGCTACCACTTATGGAATTATGGAAGATAGTAAGTAAGCAAGAAAGCAGGCAAAGTAATCCGCCACTCAATTAACCAGTCATTTAACTCATCAGCCACCTATGGCAGTCAGACAGCCAATCAGCCAACAGTCACATGGACTTCAGTAAGTGGCTGATATTAGAGTTATTTAGGTCAGGCACAGTGCCAGAGGTGGTTAGATGAGATGGTTCTTGTCTGTCTGGGGATATTGGCTGCCCCGTCAGACAGATGGGGACAAATAAGGAGAGGGAGACATAAAGTGGAGAGACTACAGTCACAGATGCTCAAAGTGAAGGAGACAATAAAAGAATTTACAGGACAATACTTTGAATGCCAAGTGCAGACAGAGCGGTTGACGTGACAAGGATAACATTTTTAACCTCACGCTCGACTCCCAGACTGTTTTCCATATAGACTGATTCACCATCTGCATCTAGGTATCTTGATAGGAAAATACAGTAGATGGCTATAGAGTCAAAGCAATCACTTTGTGCACCGTGCACTAGTTACAAATACCTTCTCATTTAATCATGAGAAGCAAAAGGTCAAGTCTAACCTTGCACTAATGCTACCAAAACACTTTTCACTCTCCACTTCCCCTCCCTGTACTGGAAGAAACCGGACGTCTTGGCCCACTGCAATCAGTATGGTTCCCCTCCCACTCTTGCTCTATTATAATCTACCAAACCACTAAACAGATTTAACAGTATGACAAAACTGTATCAGCGAAACAAACTCAGCAGGGGTTCACATGCTGTCTGCCCAATGTCAGAAAGATTTAGGCCCCAGGTGCCGAACATGCAGGGAGGGGGTACGCCTCTCTAATCCAGTTTTACACTTTCCCACGTTTTGACAAGTCTGTTCCTTTCAATTCCCAAATGCTAACTGACAGGGGCCTTTGGACCTCGGTTTTGGGTGGGGTCAGCAGCCTGCAGTGCAACATAGGGGACAGAGTTTGAGAAATAAGTGGGCAGGTAAAAGAATAAAATAAAAAGATGGGATCTTAGAAAGTAGAGGACTGTATGAAACGGACCTGCGGTGCAGCACAGGGGAAGGTCACTGACTTCTATCCTTTGACAGTGACCTTTGTCCTTTCACTTGCTTTCCTTAATGTTAGAGTCCAGATACTCTGAAAGGGGACATCATGTTGAGAGGCAGTGGATAGGATAGAGTGTTTTAAAAATGCGTACTGAAAGACAGTATATTTTATGCTTTACTATTTTATGCTTGATGACTTGCTGAACTTTAGTTTAATCCACACAATGAACAAGGGAATAGTCTTGTAGCAGGTTGGCTAAAGAACTTGCTGAACTGTTTTGTATTTGAATAGACTGCCCTGGAAATTAATGCAGGAATGAGAAGTTCTACAATGGTTAAAGCTGGATTTCCTGCCAACTTATCGAATTTTCTTTCCCTATCCTTCGCCTCAGGGGCTGTTTCTATTACCGTCTCTTGGTTCAAAAGAGAAAAATGCCAGAGAAGTGAAAAGATGATTGAATATCATCCAGTAACATCCCCTTAACAACTTCTTCCCCCCCCCGCCCTCTTTCTCTCTCTGTCTCCCCATGCAGTCATGTTAGCCCCTCGGGACTGTTCAGACTACAATGTTCTGGAGGTGAGGAAGAACGGTGTGTATCGTGTGACCCCTGATCCCCGCAACGGGACATTTGATGTCTTTTGTGACATGGAATCCTATGGAGGTGGATGGACGGTGATACAGCAAAGGCTCGATGGGTCTGTCAGCTTCAATCGCACCTGGACAGAGTACAAGAAAGGTTTTGGGAACCTCAGGTAATCAGCTAAGAGATAAGATAAAATAATCTTTTATTGATCCCCCAGAGGGAAATTGGAGCGTTATGGAAGAGGCACAAGGGTAGAAATAATTACAGTGAAAAATTGTTTAAAAGTACATAAAATGAAAATAAGAACAGTATAAGATAGAAACTACATTGGCACTTAAAAAGAAACTGGGGTCTTATTCTTGGGTTCCTCTCACAATATATCTTAGGATGGGGGAAAACATTTCTCAGGTGTTGCTTAGAGGCTTGCATAGATGATAATTTATATCCACCTGGCATTTTTAAGCCTTATTCTTAAATCAAAAAACGCCATTTGTTTGTAAAATAGTTGAGGTGATGGAGGGATTTGTGGAATTATCAAACTTTAGTGGAAAAAAGCTTAATTTTCTGCTATTTGTATGTAGGATAGGCAAAAATACCACGTACGCCAAATTGGGTGGAGTTTTAAATATGACCACTAAGAGGTTAAATGCTGACTGTCATGACACCCCATGAGGCCGGCAGTTGATGCTGTGTGGCACTAGAAAACTCTAAGTGAGAGAAAATAACCCTGATAATGTCACTTTTAATCCATCTCTCAGGATTGCATTTCCATGAAGTTTGGGTGTAAATCCCCAGACTTCATGGAAATGCAATACTAAATCACCAGAGTACCCTTTTAACTAGAACACTGTAACGGTGAACAAATGATGATGGGAAAATCAACAGCTAACACCCACAGCTTCACAGGAAGCCCCCACTACTCTCCCAAACCTTTATTAACTTCTCAGACTCGCCTAAGTGGAACCTACCATCTGTTCAGGAAACTAAAGGGGTGAGCTAGACCGATACAAATATAAAAAAAAACCCAAAACAATAGTGAACTAAGCATTAATTCAAGACTTCTCTGTTACTCCAGTAAAATCTATATCTGGGAATTCATGCACACCCATCAGAGCACCGACTTTAACAGAAAGTAATTTGTTGGAAAGTAGTTTTACCCTTCTTCCCTCAACTGGAGGCTGCCCGCTCACTCAGTGCTGAGAGGACCTAACGATGCACACCTGTTCTCACTATAACTGATTGTTCACCACCTGTTCTCGGTCTCACTGATTATCACACGTAAAACAACTAAGTGAACATACATCACCACAGTAGGGCTGACCTATTTTAACAGATAATAAATGTGTTAACCAAAATTAATTCATTTGAATCCAAACATAAATGTTAAAAATTGTGAAACAGGTCCCAGTAAAAATGGAGGGAGCAAGCCTTTTCACATAGTAATATGTATAGTTTTAATGCGGAGCCTCTAACTAGATTAGAATTTTTGCTCATTTTCTCTATTGTCATCTCAGCTTCTGTAGGAAGGACTTTTATTAGGGAAATAACCATGGTTACCTCTTGATAACCATGCCTACACATCTAGTATAACCTCCCACTGAAAGAATAATGCCTCCTCTCATCTTCTTTTACTGTCACACTACTCTCCCCTTGCATCTCCTCCTTGCCTCTCCTCCCCTGCAGGGATGAGTAAATGCAGTTTGAGTAACTGTATCCACTTTCTAATCAAGTGTACAAGCATATGAGCTCGTTTATAATCTATTTTTCATTTCGCTCTGGTCCATCCCCTCCTTCCTCTGCCTTTTCCTCTGCTGCAGAGGTGAGTTCTGGCTGGGCAATGACCATATCCACTTGATGACAAAAGCCAAAGACATGATCTTGCGCATCGAGCTGGAGGACTTTGAGGGTGTTCGGGAGTACGCAAGGTACGACCAGTTCTACGTGGCCAATGAGTACCTACGCTACCGGCTGTCCATCAGTGGATACAGGTACAATATTACATTCTTAATCAGATTTATTGCCAGGTTATTCTATGCATGTGTGATCAAATATTGATGAAGGAGGACTATATCTTAGATATATATATTGATGTGTCATTGTAGTGGGACAGCTGGGAACGCCATCAGTTTCAACAAGCACTTCAATCATGACCAGAAGTTTTTCTCCACGCCCGACCGCGACAACGACATGTATCCATCCGGTAACTGCGGCACCTACTACAGCTCCGGCTGGTGGTTCGATGCCTGCATGTCCGCCAACCTCAACGGGAAGTACTATCACAAGAGGTACAAGGGAGTCAGGAACGGGATCTTCTGGGGAACATGGCACAACATGTCGACAGAGTACTACCCCACCAACTACAGGCAGGCCTTCAAGACTGTCAAGATGATGATACGGCCCAAGAACTATGCCCCTTAAGAGGACAGGTAAATATCGATGAGTATAGTGAGACGGACAGATAGACGGACGAACACAAAACAAAGACAGTCAGAAAATGGAAGAACAAGTAGACTCAGAAACTCATACACATGCGCATAGTCATGCATTTGCACACATTTACACATGCATACGTGTACACCGAAAAAGACTATAAGTACTATAGACAGTTTGAATGCAGTAATAACAAAAGTAATTGAGAAAAAAATTAACTGTGCTATTTTCCACTGTGGTGAGTGTGGCCTTCAAGATGTTGGATTAAAATGATGATAATAAAGGACAATGGACTATGAACGATGATGGACTAATAAAAAACAAAAAACACATGCAATGTAAAGGCCAGCCTCCTACAGGGGCCATAATATTATACGAAGGGTTACCATGAGAGATTTTTTCAATGTTTCTCTGACATTTCCTCACTTTCTGTCCTGCTGCCTCGTGCTATAAACCCCCGCTGAGACGCAGCACAGCACACAGTAGTAGTAAAAACTAACGAGCTATCATTTTCTCCACTCTAAACAGTTTAATAATTAACAGCAGCCACTCGAGTGAGGTATATGAGAAATAATGATATAGTTTTGAGTGCATCTGAAATTTATTGTGAAAGACAGAGTCAAACTGTTAAAAAAAAAAAAATTACAGGGAGTGATATACAACAGCCTTTGGGCAGCGGCGTCGTTCATTTAATTACTCAGACACTTCAGTAATGTGTCATCGTCCTACATAATATAAAATGTCCCAGTATAAATATGCAGTCTGAGATAAATTTCTATTGGACCATTGCCAAGCACATTCTGCATTATTGATGCATTAGTAAAATTCTTGACGGCAGCCACGGAGCAGGACACTGCAGCAAGGAAAAAAATAGTTTTTCCACCCTTGTCTCTGGGTGCACTGAACTACTGCAAATATATTGATGCCATACACCAGTTTTCACGTGTAAAAAAAAAAAAAAAAAAAATTCCTCCCTGACTCACCACTTGTACAATACTGCTGCCTATTGTTAGAAAACTGTATTGCATCATTTAATCCATTCTATACACACTGTGAATGGGAAGGATGGGGAAAGAAATGTTTCACTTTAAGGACGTGTACAGTATTTATTTTATTTTGTGAGGTATGATAGCTTTTATATAATACATAGGGCATACAGTAGGTTCGATGATTGTTGATATTCGAGCAATGACAACGACTGTGCATTGTTGTGACCATTCATAGTAATTATGTGTGTAGTTGGAGCTTTGTGTGTGTACAGTATTGCTCTTTTCTATCATTCATATTCAACTGTCATGCCAAAAGATATGCACTTTTTATATCAAAACATGAATAAAATTCTAACTACATGGCTGTGTACATTGCAGTGTTTGGCAGCTTGATGTCATACTGATGCCTGCTCATCTTTAAAAGCATCTTCTGTATTGGATTCACCTTTTTAATGAATGTATACAAAAATGTATACAAGTTTAGCATGAGTATCCATGAGTAGAAAACACAAACTCTGAAGTGTCTGCCGTCTAGTATCCAGGGCTATTTGATGCCTGTAAAAATGGAGGGATGAGGTGCTGCATGCCCGTAATAAATGGGTTAATGAGGTGTTGACTCAATAAAGCAACTCAGTAAAAGAGTGAGTTCATATTAACTTCACAGAGGTTTATGATCAAACTGTGGGCCTGTGACTTTAATGTCTGTTTACTGTATGTGACGATCAAGTTAATAAAAAAGTACTGTGCTCATCCACGTGATGATTTTCCAAGTATTCACTTTTGTTTGATTAAAAATGTCTTAAAGATAAATGCTGTGAGGCACATGACTCAATCTACAGTATCACATTATATTCCAAACATCAATTTAGATGAAAAATTAAATGGTTAAATACATTAGTCCGTGTTTTTTTGTAAACAGGCACACTAGATCCTTCCTGTATGTTTTAAGTAATCAGGGTAAATACTGTCACTCCAACTGCTAAAATGTGATATTTGTCTTTCATACGAAACCTCCAAAATGCCTTTCAGAAGACATTTGACTTACCTCATCTAAGCACTGGAAAGCAGGACTAGCAGAGACATCAGTACTGGCAGAGGGCAGCTCCTCTGGGAGTGAAGCATCAGGTGCAAGGGCCACTAGAGGGCTGTCCTCCTCCATTGCCTCCTCCTCCTCCTCCTCCTCCTCCTCCTCCAGCTTCACTTTTCCTCTGCTGGGAGGCCTGCTATCCTGCTGCTCCTCAGACAGACTCACTAACGCAAAACACATAAATAGATACAGTATTCAAGATTACTTTGAAGGAATTGAAGTTTTTTTTTCCCCATAACCACCACAGAATAAATAATAATATAATGATAACTGTACAAGCACATTACACAAAGGCAGAATCAGTTAAATACGTGAAAATGGGGCTTTTATTCTGAAAAGATTTTATTCTGTTGCCGGAAATCAAAGTCAAGATACATTTGGCACTGTGACCCTAAACTACACATCAATTTCTGAGGCATCTTAATAATAGACCAATAGAAAAACACAGATACTGTAAACCCCCACAGACACCTTTTTGAGCTAATTAATCCCCCCAAAAAACAAAATAAAAGTTCTCGTACGGCTGATAACCTAGCACTGGTTCATGTTTGTGTCGGTGTTTGTCTGCTAAACAAACTTAACGTTACTTACTTATTACTTAACGTTACTTTTGAATCCCTGGAAATCTTCACACACGTCCCTCAAGACTCTGTTGTCCTACAAAACTAGAAACTATCAACACCGTACGCCTTTAAACACACTTTGAAGTACAGCTAAATGCAATCACAGACTTCTCTCCGGCTGAAGAAATGGCGTGTTGTGGTTACCATAGCAACGGCACCACACGCCCCCAGTAATATCATGTGAAAACCCCTTTTATTTATTTTTATTTACATTGGTTGTTTATAGGAAAGCTATATTTAGCGCATTAAAGTGTACCAGCTGATAATATAGGAAGATGTAAAGGTTTTAGACGAGTGCACTCAACCCAAAATCTCCTTTCAGCCTTGCTGTGACTGTCCAGCAGATGGCGGGAAATAGTCATTTACTGAAATCTTGCTCCTCTTCATCATCATGTGTCACGCATTGGCTGCACAGCACAGCATAAGTACAACTGACTGAATACACCTAGTGACTGAGCAGTGAAAGCACTAAAATGAAAGTGGATTCACCTGACCTGAATCCAAGGTGAAAGTGGTGGCAATGATGCAATGCTGCTGTTTCTTCTGTTATATCAGCTTTTTTCCCACAGTGCACTCTGGGAGTTGGCATGGCCCATTATTCACTCCCTGCAACAGCTGCAGGGATGTGTTATCTCAGCTATGTGTGCGCGTACGTGTGTGTGTTTGCTTGCATAGAATATGTGTGAACGAGATGGAGGTTCCTTTAGGTTTTTCAGTCAAAGATACAGAACAGATAAAAATGCAGGGTGCCACCAAGCAAGAAACACATTTAACCCCTCTCCTTAATGGCATGGTCAGCCTTGATTCTTTGTTCTTTTATGAATTGTGGGAGAGAGTTTTAGACTGTGTTTTCTCCCTTGGTATGTTCCCAATTTACCTTAAGTTTACTGGCTGTCGCACAAATAACCCTCCTCTTCAAAGGCTGTTTTCAGTGTCACTTACAGTAATACACAGAATACACAAAACCATATGGCTTAACATATGGTACAGGTATGTGCATTTACCATGCCGTGAGGGTGAGCGTAGCTTTATGTGCACCAGGAGGAAAGGCATGTGAATTCATGTGCAAAAGTCCAGGCATCACACACATTCAGATATTACCCCTAACATAATGTTTTCATGCACATATATAGATGCTTGACCTTTCTGAATTTAACTGATATCATAATTGGCTGTGACTATTTTTCAGCTTCAATTCACTTCAGTAATATCTGACCATCTGATTGCACACTCGCTTGCAATGTGGTTGTTTTGGCAGAGGAGATACACTATTTTTGTGCACAAAGTCAACAACTGAAATGACTAATTCTTCCAGTAATTGCAGTTTTGTTTTTACACAATATCCATGGTTTTGCCTTCTGTTATAAATTTTGGAAACAGTGACACATGAGAGACAGCATCCGCTCTCGGTCACAACGTTAAACTTTTAAGAACCAACACCATCCACTGCTTTTCCATCATGATGGATGAAAAAAAAAGGGGGGGGGGGGGAAATGAAGGCAAGTGCCATCCTCCTTGTACATGTAGGACTAAATTAAACTTTTAAAGACAGGCTCTTTAATTAAACCCGTTAATTATGTAGACCTAATTTTACCACTCCTTGTTAAATCCCAAACAAATCACCCGGTGCTTTGGGATGAATGTCTTTTGCAGAAGCCAGGTTTCCAAATTAACCTTGAATCCTCTCCAACAGTCTGGATGTTTGAACTTTTGAATCCTGGCAGACTCCAGTTTATTTTCTGATTAAAATATGCCCCTTCATGTGCCCCTACTATTACCATTTTTGGCAACAAAAAAAAAAGCCCCAATTTTATAGCTATTTTGAGGGAGAGAAACTTCGAATTGCAAACGTATGAGGGAATGACAGAAGGACCCTGAAAGTTTGAGAGTTGTTCGTTGCTGAGTCAGTCACTGCATTGACACAAACTTTACCGTCATATAGTCCTTGTACATATTTTGCAGATGTTGCTTTACCCTTTCATCTAAGTCAAACTGATCAAATCTGCTGACTATATGTGTTATAAAACTCCATGTCTTACTATGAACTCCACCAAAATTGCTGGCTTCATGAGTTTGTGATTTTGTGCCACAGTTCACAGTAACTGCTGTGAAGTTTAACAATCTACAACAGATGCTGAAAGATGATGCATATTGAATTAGACACCGGGGGCAGTTAGCAGGGCTGAAGACTGGGATTATACTGTGTGTTGAATAGATGTGTGTCAGTGGTGAAGATACATGTTACATGGCAAACTAAGGTAGTGGACATGATTAACATTACTGCTGCTAAATATGTGTGCTGACATTAGGGTAACCTCTGCTGCTACTCTCATTTTGTCTGTATAAGAGCAGGTCAAGAACTAGAGCAACTGTGTTACATTGTGTATGTGCATGTCCTGAATGTGTTTGTTTGCTCTCTAGCCCATGCATAAACCAGACTTTTGGAAAAACTTACTGTACTCCCAGGATGCAGTGTCCAGATCTTTGTTTTACTGCTCTATTGTAGTCACAACAAACGCAACTTGGGGATTGGGGGTAATTTTACAACCCCCTCCACGTCTATTCCTCTCTTTCATGTGTGGTTGGGTGTTGGGAAACTGTTTTAAAAGTCCTAATTAAAACACACACATAATGTGTAGTGGTCTTTTTCCATACACAAAATCTGCTTTTACAATTTGTCTTGTCAAAGACTTTGTCTTTCATGCAAAATGTCTGGATACAGTTTATAAACAGATGTGTTAAAGCCTTGTAAAACCTTGAAACCAGCTTTTTGTTGAAGCTCAGTCCAAATCAGCTGTGCACTTCTGAAATAGTATTTGTGTCTTTGAGAAATCTTTACCTTATATTTTAAGATAGAATGGGATATAACAGGAGATGAACAGGCCGGGTTGTTATTATTACTGTTAAGTCATTCCACAAGACGGATGGGAACATGAAACTAAATCTCCTCATTGTCCTCATTGTTGGAGCGAACTTCACACTGTTGAGTTGACATCCTGCACAAATATTTTGCACCATCTAATCTGAGTTTAGAGGACTACCTAAATCATAAATCACTGAGAAACTGAGAACTGCTTCTGGCAAAGTGTGAGTCTGATGTCATTCTTCGGAGTCTTTACAGGATCTCTGTGGAGAATCCAAGGCATTGTTCCACAGTGTGTCAGTGGGCAGACCACAGACTGTAAGACCCCCTCCAGCTTGGACTCCTCTGAATCACCTCTATATATGGTTCTTCCAGACCAAAAAAATAAAAAATAAAATCATATATACTGAACAGCCATGTCTGTGTTTTCAGCATCTCAACAAAAGCCATATGTGTGAGTGAGCAACAGCTGTGCACATATTCTTGACTCATTTGGAACAAATCCTGATCTTTGAAGAGTATCTAAATCATCAATAACTTGAACAAAAACTTGTTTGTATTCAAAATAATTTATTGGGACACATAAGGAAGATAAAAGTTTCAGGCTCTGGGAGGCAAAGCAACAGGATCTTATTGATGTGCGACAAGCTTGAACCCATTGAATGATGAGGAATATAAGCTCATACAATAGTCTATACTGTGTTGTACTCTGATGTATCATGTCTGACTGTATTTTATTATATTATATTTGTTTGGCATTTAATAATATCAAGTATCATATTGAATCATACCATCATATTTCACTGTGTCATGTCGGATCTTCAATTGTAATATAGTACAAACATATTGGTTTGCATCATATCCAACAGATAAACAACTCTCATTTTCATTATAATACTGGAATCCATAATACAATACACCATGCAGGGTGTATGTATTTTATTTCATGGATTTGTTTGGGTGTCAACGCATGCAGGTTAATCACATTTACAACCTGCCACAATAGACAATGTTTCACTGAGTTTTTATAGGAAGATATTCACTTCATCACTATTAGAACAATACCGTTAAATAAGGTGTGTGTGTGTATGTCTCGGTGTGTGGTTGTGAACATGACGTCAGATTTTTGAAGCCTTTGATTGCTGATAATTCCGAGTGCAGGCCTCTTGATTCTCACAAAGACACACTCAGGTTACGTAAACATCTTTTTGTTTGGTTTAGGCTTAAAGTTAACCCAGGTGGCACCATGGCTATTTTTACAGGTTTTAATTTTCTGTCTTTATCTATACAGAGTGGATTCACTTACCAGATTCTTCATTCGTTCTTCATTCCTTCAAACTAGCATCCTACCAGACTATAACTGGTCCAGTATCTAAGGTTGGCTCTTTTTTACTATACACTCACATACAGTCAAATTATTTCCAGCCAGAGATTATATTAGACCTTTATTGCTTTATTACTAAAACTCACTGGATACAGTCTAATAAAGTAGAAACATCTTAACAATAGTAGAAAATCTCACTTTTACTCACTACCAACATTGGACGTTTTGGAGGAAAATGACACTCATTGATTACAAGATAATCCAAGATATACAGAAATAGAACATTTTGAAGATAGATCATCATTGTGCAAATAAAGACTGAATTTTCTGCTCTGCTCAAAAAGTGTGTTGGTCATGTACAGGGGTCAGCAACCTTTTCAAATTAAAGTGCCTTATTTGTCAAAAAAA